CCCGCCCCCACCGCCGTACCCGTACGCGCCCATCACTGAAACAGCACACTTTTAATGCCGATTACATCCACATTATTCATCAATTTTTTTATGCTAACTGGAACACAAGACAACATTGTATAAATAATAATGTTAGTGTGTGTGTGTGTGTGAGTGCGTGTGTGTGTTGCACAGACCGTGCGCACTCACTGTGCTGGTAGGCGTGTAGCGCGTGAGCCTGCGCCTGCGCCGCCTGCGCCTGGGCCTGCGCGGCTTGTGCCTGCGCCGCCGGCAGCGCCAGGCCGCGCCGCTGCCCGCCCGAGTTGAGCAGCCCGCGCAGGTTCATCTCGTTCATACCTTTACGCCCAGGTAAATATCATGAGTATGGACCGGGAGGTGGATGGAGGTACATGTAGGTGGTGGTGGTGGTGGTGGTGGTGGGGGGTGTATGTTACCGTGCAGATGGTGCGGGTGCGTGGTGGAGGTGACGTGCGGATGTCGCAGCGGCGTGTGTGCGCGCGCTCGTCCCAGCGGGGCCAGCGCGTTGCTCACGCCCACTCCACCCACTCCACCCACTCCACCCACTGCGGCCACCCCGCCCGCCGCTTGCACGTACGACTGCGTCCGATTCACGCAAAGTGGATACTTTAACTTCATTATACAAAAATATTAAAGGTTTAAACTATTTACGCAGAAGAAAACTATGCTAGAACTGATTTCATACAAAACTATCAGCATGACAATAACATTATGTCTAATACAATCGTTACACAAACATACATACATACATACATACAGTTGTACACTTTTCTAAATAATATTACTAAATCTAATAACAATCACATTTACAGATCGGCACGGAAGTTTGTATTCATTAGATTTGCTGAAATTGAATGTTCTACTCTAAACTGTAAGTAGACAAACAATTGAATTGAAATATTAAGAAAGCTACACGTAACTAAACTAACAGTATAAAGTGTGAATATATATAGAACAGAGCGAGGAGATGTGACATACAGAAGCTACAGACATAGAGAGGCACAGGGAGGCACAGGGAGGCGGGCACTGACCTGGTAGCGCGCCAGCGTCTAGACATGGAACGTCAAACATCAACATGTTACAAGTACAGGGCGCTCTCCGCAATATTTGTTTATTATGAGATTATATTGTAGGAGAGGGGGCAAGCGCGGAGCTCTCCGGAGAATCTCCTGATTACATAATATATGAGTAAATAGTTCCATGAGAAGCAGATATTGTTTGTGAGATTGTATGCGTACCTGGTGCATGGCGACCTGCTGCAGCGCGACGACGGCGGACTGCTGCTGCAGCTGGGCGTGCTGCGGGTGCGGGGCGTGGGGCGCGTGGGGCGCGTGCGGGGCGTGGGGCGCGTGCGGGGCGTGGGGCGGCGCGGCGGGCGGGGTGGCGGCCGGCGGGTGGTAGGGTCCCTGCGCGCCGCCGTCCACCTTGCCGTCCACCACGATGGCGCCGATAGTCGAAAGCACTGCAAGCACCGCTCCGCCGTGAGCACGGGTCCGGGGTGTGTGTGTGTGTGTGTGGGGGTGGGGGTGGGGGTTGGGGGCGGGTACTGACCGCGCACGAGGTCGGGCAGCTTGTCGAGGGCGAGGCTGATGCGCACGGGTATCTCTGGGTTGGGTATGTCAGCGCGGCGCGACTTGATGCGCTGCAGATGCGCGCACACCGCGCGCTTGGTGTACAGCACGGCCGTGTCGCTGCCCTGCACACAGAACGCGAGGCTGTAGCGTGTGCCCCCGCACCGGGCGCACCGGGCCTGTGCCTCGCCGTACCTGCTGCAGCGCGGCGTTGACGAAGTCGACGCAGTGGTCGGTGATGGCGGCGAGCTGCTCGAGCGCGTCCTTCTTCTCGGCGAGGGTGCGCTGCTTGGCGTCGCACACCTCGTTGAGGCGCAGCACCAGCTGCTTGCCGCGCGTGTTGATCGCGTTCGTCAGCCTGCGACACGACACCACGCCGCTCTGAGTACTGTGCGCGGCTAGGAGGGGTCAGTGCGAGGAGGCGGCACGTACTTGACGACGGTCTGCGTGATCTCGTGCACGAGCGCCTTCTTCTTATCGGCGATGAGATGCTGCCGGTCGCGGATCACCTTCATGGCGGAGCCCAGCAGCACGCGCTTGTAGCTCACCTCGGACAGCAGCGCCGCGATGCCTGCGCGCGCCTGCACGCATGCACACATACACAGAGACATATTAACTGTGTCTCAGTCAGATACATGAATGTAGGGGGCCAGGTGATCAGTACCTGCGCAGCCATCTCGGTGCTGAACTGGTACTTGTGGTCGCGGTGGTGCTGCAGCTGACAGTCGCGGCAGGTCAGCCGGTCGCACGTCTCGCAGAAGAGGCTCAGCCGCTCCTGTAGCACCAGATACCGACGTGTACTATATCTCCTCGTGAACATCCACCGCGGCAAATGTCAAGTGGTGTTAGGTTCGTATTAGTTAGATACCTGGGGGTGGTCGCGGCAGAACATGTCCTGTGCGGAGCGCGCGCTGGCCTGCGCCGCCTGCAGCTCCGCCACCGCCTCCTCCTTCGACTTGATCGTGTGGTCCTTGGTTATCTTCAGCCTGCGCGCACGCATCGCACCACAATCAGTCAGAGCCGGCCGCAGAGTATTTAACATTAGCATTGAAAATTTAAACAATCCGAAGATTGATTAGCGCTTACGGACAATATTAGTCGAGTTGGGTTGTGGGCTTTTAGGGTTATGGGTACCTCTGGTGCGCGCTGACGCAGCTGTCGCAGATGAACTCTGCGCAGTCGACGCAGTAGCTGGTGGCGGGCTCTGGATCCTCGCAGCTGTTGCACTGCTGCTCGCCCGCGCCGCCGCCCGCACCCCCCGCACCTGACACCGACATATTTACTGTGCATATATTGTGTGTGTGTGCGTGTTAAGAGGTTGGGGGTGGTGAGGGGCGTTGGAGGAAGCACACTGACCTGCGCCGGCTTGCTCGAGCGCCATCTTCTCGAGCACGAAGCGTTGGTCGATCATGTTGGCGGGCTGGCACTGCAGCCGGCACGCGGGGCACGTGATCGTCACACGCGCCGCCCCTGTAGCCACACAACGTAACGACCTCTCTTTTTACATACCTACATTGTACTCTGTCTCTCTCGCTCTCTCAGACAAAGTTATTAAAAATCTGTATATCGGTTTTTTATATAGAAACTGGTCAGTGTAACCTTAGTAAACATGTTTTCATTCATTTTTTTTAATGTACATGTGACCTTCATTACATAAATGACAATAACGAGGGTCACATCAGCGCAGACAAAACAAGCGCGAAAAACTTTTTACCGTGTGGTCCCTGAGAAAATGTATCATTGTAAAATTAACAAACAAAAACTATAATAAAATCTATTAAGGAGTTTTAGAGAGATTTTAATAAATGTGAATAAATAATAAATTTAATTTAATGGAGAACTGATCGCCAACCTTCGCTTGTCGGAGAGGCACCTCAAGAAGAAGAAGAAATAATAAATTTAGAAACATTTACAGTTGGGTTTTAGTCATAATTTCGACCAAGGTATTTTGTTTTACACATCTTTCCCAGACATCCTGTAGATATTCATAAAAAAACGTCATGGCTAATATTTTACTAATCAGTGCAATAATACGTGAAAATAAAAAAGTATAAAGAGAATTATTCAGAATTTTTTGAACACGCTACCTTTATTACACCGTACTGGTTTTTCAATAAATAAAGGTCTAGTCGACACGCAAATAATAAAACTCAAGGAAACCTCGTAAAAAGTGCATTGAACTATTATAAATGGAGTGGTCGCGCCGCCATGCAGAGATGCGACCTTCAACTCAATTAAATGTTATTTAGAATAAAGAACATTTGATAAATATAAATCGCAGCGCATCGCCATTGCAATTGTGCAATAGCTTTTTATATATATAATAGCTTTCAAAATTAAAATGGTCTCAAAAAAATATAGGAACTAGAATCGTCTGTATTTACGTTTTTTTTAATTATTAAAATAGTAACAAATTATTAAAACTAATTGAATTATGTTTGTTTCACCATTCCTGATATGCTTGAAGCTTCTGTTTGAATGCCTGAATCCTGATATTTTACATATGCATGAATTTTGGCCAATTATTTAACAATTGAACAAAACTTTCTACAGAACATATAAAAAAATATGGTATTGTGAGCAACTTCATCTGCAAATAGTTATTTGTGTTGAGGTTATTCACCTAGGAAGTCACGATTGGTAGAGAGCTTCTCATCAAGCTTAGCTTTGATACAGGGCTCACAGGCAGAGTGCAGACACTCCATAAGCTTGGGGGTGCCATCGGCGTGTGCAAGCGGTGTGCGGCACAGTACACAGCGCGCCGCCCCACCAGCGCGCGGCGACGCCAGCGAGTCCGCGCCCTCGCCCTCCGCTTTGCCCTCCCCATCTGGCTCGCCGCCCTCTCCAGCGCTACCACTGCCCACCTTTATCACAAACATATATTCTTTGTTATACTCACTTAGATATGGTTTAATATCAGTTTGTATCAATCAATGTGTAAATAAAATAAAATGTATCAATAAAATTTGTTGATTTTGAAGATTTTCAATTTCAATATAAATGTGATAAATTTTTTCAATCAGTCTTATCAGACAGAGTATATAGGGTATAAATTACTAAGTCCCAATAGCGGCACAACTTACAATTCATTTTTTTTTGTATTTTTTATTCATAATATTGGATTTCGTTTTAGATAAGTACGGTACTCAGTACATGACTTAATTATATTTATCTTTGTAATCAAAATACTGCTACACCAATATACAAATATATTTTAAATTATCATTTGGTCTGTTTACAAAAATGGGATTATGTCGGCTTCTCTAGGGACACCCCAACAGACTGTCTCAAAGAGGGTCTGTCCTACCTAAAGTGGGAGGTATGTTCATGTTAAATATACTTCTATTTTGCGAGACTATATGTCTCCATCGCCTACACCATCTTGCACCCCTGCATTTATTACCATGACTAGATTTGGTATCAGATTAATGCTAGAATAGTGTAATATATTATAAATGTGTAAATGGTGAATGAAAACCTAAGTTTATTCAAGCTGCCTTAGTATCTAATGGGTTATACTTTTTACATGGAGATAATCTGAAAAGTCAAGAGATAAGAAGTCATATATGATAGTAACTTTGCTTATTAATAATGGTTAAATTGCTAATTAATTGTATGACAATTCAGTAGTAAAAAAATTCTGTAGCAAAAGAAATAATTAAAACAATCATGATAATGTGATAATTATTTTTCAAGTTACTGCTGTGCAATAAAAATCTAGTTTCATCATTTTTTTAAAGATTGACAGTTGCACACAATTCTGATGATTGTATTTAGTTGAAATTAAGTTAAACAAATGATAGTTGTTAGTAAATAGCTACAAGTAAAAAAAAAAGGGAAGAAGAAAATTATTTTAGCAAATTATTGACATCAAAATATTTAATAAATAACATACATTAAGATTAGGTGCGGGCACGGGCGCGGGTCCTGCGGGTGCTTCGTGCAGCTCCTCGGACACTTCCTCTTTGATGGTGACTCCGAGCAGGGGCCCGAGATCCATCAGCGCTCTCTCAATATCCTCCCCGCTCGGTTGGAAGCCAACGTTTTCCATTTAGGATGTTATAAACCACTACCTTATTCGTCTTACTTCACACATATTTTCTCTGCACCAGAAGGAAAAGTTTCATCAAGAACTTTCACTCCACAGCCTCGATCGGGCACGTCAACATAATTGAGCACTTAATGTGAGATGAGACCACTTGAAAGCGTCTTTCGGAACGCAACTACTTGAGTAATTTAATCTCTACATTTACATAAAACAATTGCCTTTATTAGAATAAAACGTAAGTAACAAATCTGTTTCAAAGTTACATTCGCTACAATTATAGTTTTTATTGAAACAAAATAATAACGTGCGTCCTTCTATACGACACCGATACCATAGACGATACATAGACAATAGAAAAATAGTAAATTAGTAAAGAGCAACAGGAAGAAGAAGAAAGGAACGAGACAGGAATAATTTTTCAGTACATTTGCGACATACATACAGTACCAAAAACTTAAATTGTGGATATTTTTTTAAATCTTTTATAAATTAGTTATCTCTACGTACTCCTCAGATCACAGGTGTTACTGAATGTAACGTCGTTGATGTCATAATAATGAAAATTATAATGTAAAATCAGTCCCATTGTTAATTTCAATCTTATAACAACAGCAACACCGATTTGACATTTATGTGACAACGTCGTACGTGTGACACAATCCTGACACATCGAAATCAAATCAAATTCAAAGCAAAGTCTCGAAAATGGCTGACTCGGGGCCTAGTAAAAGTGATATCGAAGCAGTGTTTCAAAGGCTACGAGCGATTCCCTCCAACAAAGTGTGTAATTATCGTAGTGCAGATGTATGTCGGTTTACAATTCAGGTGTTTGATGAATAGTTTTTACATAGGTATGTTTCGACTGCAACGCCAAAAATCCTACGTGGTCGTCGGTGACGTTTGGCGTGTTCATCTGTCTGGATTGTTCAGCGGTGCACCGTAGCCTGGGCGTACACATCACCTTCGTTCGCTCCACACAGCTCGACACCAACTGGACATGGAAGCAGCTCAGGAACATGCAGCTCGGCGGCAATGTCAACGCAGTACGTTCTCATATCATGTTAATGTTCTATACTTCCAGGGCGATAATGTAACGTACAGTGCCTATGCTGTTCTGATTTATTTAAATAGAGTATCTCCACCTAAAAGGCAGGCAATGCATTCACTTCTTCAGGTGTTTTGGATGTCCATGGGCATGGCTTTATTTATGTTTATCTTGATATGATCTAAAACATTTTATTTTCAGACACAGTTCTTCCGCACCCATGGCTTATCAACCGATGATGCTCGCCAAAAGTACAGCTCACGAGTGGCTCAGATGTACAGAGACAAGTTGAATGCATTGTCTGAACAAGCAATGAAAATACACGGTACAAAGGTAACATTACAAAACAATATAGATACAATAAATTAAACATAAACAATGTTACATTCTAAATTACTCTAGACTTCATGAAATCTAAATTAGGTCAAGTTTATCTCAACATTATTTTATGGTATTTTGATATGTGTACAAAATTATTCTGTTAAAATTGAAATGTTATATGCATTGAGTGCAAGTTGTACTTTCTTATCTTTAACTATACCTTTATGTAACAAATGCTACATTAGTTTGAAGTTATGTAATATCTTTTTATTGCACTATTAAAATATATAATGTTGTCAGTAGAGATATCCCTCGTAGATGTGACAATGAAAGTTGTTGCATTAGCTGCATGTATTACATAAACTTTTTCTTTTATGTTTAATTTATGTAAATTGATATATTTGTAATCTGCCCGACCTCTATATTTCGAAATTTATTTCAAAATGGCTTGTGTCTGAACTTTACAGGCTAAATCATTTGACCGCCTGTTTGTCATCTTGTACTAAAAAACTTACAAAAAGACATTATAGAGTCATTTTATAATAACTTGATTGAATTATAATTCATTGTATATTCGTCAGCTTCACCTGGAGCCATCTGCACCGGAGACAAAAGAGAAGGAGAAGTCTGAGCAGGAGGTAGACTGGTTTGCGCAGCACGCAGATGCCCTCGCCACTAACACTAACCAGCTAAGCCTTGATGCACAGGTACCCACGCTCACAGCTAGTCACTCACTGCCACCACACACCGTGGCACACATCTCTTATAGTGTACCAAATATTATGATTACATTCTTGTTCATGTATTTGTAACTCATCAAATCATATTCACTATTTTCATAAAGATGTGTGTTGTTTGGTTGTTATGAATTTTGAAGTTTCTTGTTCTGAACTTTTTTTTAACATTGTATTAATTTTATTTTCGTTTTTTTTTTAATTGTGTTCAGTTTGTTTTAATTTGTAAAACTTGACTATAATACTTAAAAGCTAACAGTAGTCTTTTTAATACGAAAATTTTTATTTGTATATAATAGTTGCTTTATTAAAGGCAATTCCTTAGATGTTTTTGTTAATTCAATTGATTTTTTTGATATTTTCCTTTTTATTATTTTAAAATATTAACAACTAAATACATTACTAAATCATAATTGCTGAATTAGATCACTCAATAATAGAAATGATGCATTTTATTTTGTACCAATTAACATTTGTTACAAGAGTTGTTTGTGTTGGACAGAAGTCAGCAGAGAGCCTGAGCTCGGAGGCGCGGCTGTGGGGCGCAGGGGCGGGGGCGGGCTCCGAAGCCCCGCCCATCAGGAGCGGCAAGCCTGCGCCGCGCCGCACTGGGGTCAGCACTCACATCAACAAATACTTATACTATCTTCTTAAATAATTAGATAATTTTGACTTTGTAAATACAAAAATTGCATATTAATGTTGTCAGATGGGCGCGCGGAAAGGCGGCCTGGGCGCGACTAAAGTGGCAGCAAACTTTGAAGATATTGAGCGGGAAGCTATCATGGCAGAGAAACTAAAAATGGAGGTTTGTATTGCTCTGAAAATGATTTTAAAAAGTTTGTTTTCTCTTATACTGCTAACATTGTTATTAGCATATTCTTATTACAAGTATTGACTTACTGTTGTATATTTGTATTAAATCGTCAGGCGGCGGAGGGGTCGCGCGCGGCGACGCTCGAGTGCGTGTCTCGTGAGGCGGCGCGCCTGCAGGCGGGGGCGGGGTCGGGGGCGGGAGGCGGGCCGGGGGGCGGGGCGCGCGCCGGCGCAGACAGGCTGGGCATGGCGGCCGCACGCGCCCCCGCACACCACGGCGTCTCGCACTCCGCCCTCGCCGACATGACAGCTATCGAGCAGGAGGACGCGCCCGCGCCCCGCTCGCACCTCGACGACATGGACGACTTCAACTCCGTGTTCACTATGATCAGGTCGGCATAACCGCACCGGCTGCAGCACTTTAACATTGTGTTGCCATGGAGTCGGAGGTTAATGAACGCGTTATTCTGTCACGGTCAGGAACGAGCCGTACAGCATGAGCCGCGGGGTGGAGAGCGAGCGCGAGTCGCGCGTGGACTCTGGCTGGGAGCGCATCGAGCCGGAGCCGACGCGCGCCGTGCGCACCATGTTCGACAACCCCAAGCCCGCGCCCTCCGCACCCTCCCCCTCCTTCGCCAACAGCACGGGCGTCGGCCGCACGCGCACCAACAAGACCGAGCCCGAGGACGACTCCGCCGTCAAAAAGTTCGGATCCGCCAAGTCCATCAGTTCCGCGCAGTTCTTCGGTGATCAGGTATAACTTATCCCCCTTGGCATCAAATATAATTTGATATTGATATATTCAAATGATGTCATTATTGTGGTTACCTGCAATGACTTGAAAACGTTCTCGCAGGAGTCTCGATGGGAGCGGGACTCGAACTTATCGCGCTTCCAGGGAAGCTCGAGTATCTCGTCTGCGGAGTATTTCGGGGAGACGCGGGCGCCGCGACCGCAGGGCTTCGCCGTCTCCGCCCCGGACCTCGACGAGGTAGGTCGCTCCGCTCGTACATTCACAAATACCGCTATACGTTTCTTTATCTGTATGACATAGGTGACGTGTGTCTGTTTGTGCAGGTGCGGGAGTCAGTACGCGCGGGCGTGACGCGCGTGGCGGGCAGGCTGAGCTCGCTGGCCAACGGCGTCGTCTCCTCCATACAGGAGCACTACGGCTACTGACACGCCCCCCACACAGGCCCCGCCCCCTCGCCCGCCCCCGCCCCCACACTGCCACCCTACACGCATTGATATCACGGAGCTACAAATAATTTTTAAGTATTACTAACTTGTAACTAGTAAAGATGGAGCGAGTATATTTAACAGCTTCCAGTACGGTACGCCGGTTATTGTAAAACGTTTATATAGACAAATCATAGCAATTTTTTGAAAATAAATATAAACTTTATTAAAATTCTTATAGTTGTAAAACATCTCGTCTGACATAATGATAAGCGTTTGCTATGTAGCCTCGGTTATTTGTAGAA